CCCGCAGCTGCCCGCCTTGCAGCGCTCGCCCGCAGCCGCCCGCCTTGCTCGTCTGAGCTGGTCGCCGCCCGCCTTGCTCGCCCGCGCCTGCCGCTGCCCGCCTTCCTCGCCTGAGCCGGTCGCCGCCCGCCTTGCTCGCTTGCGCCGGCCTGCTCGCCCAGCCTCGCCCGTCCCGCCCTGTTCGCGACGGCCGGCCGCACCATGCCCGTGCCGTGGAGTGTGGCCGCCCGCCTGGCCCCACCCTGCTCGCGATAGCCGGCCGCGCCTTGCTGGCGCCACCCGAGCCGTGGGGTGTGGCCGCCCGCCTGGCTTGGCCCAGCTGCGCCCTGCCCACGCCGGCCGTGGTGGGAACGTGGGGTGTGTGTCGTGGGTTGGGTGGGTCAGCGAGTGGGGGTGTGTATGTCGTGGGTTGGGCGGGGGCGTGCCGTGTGTGTGCGCGGGTGGACCGTGCGGTGGGTGGTAGGCGTGGGAGATCGCGTGGTGTGTGTGGACCAGATCTCGCCACCTCATTGATCCGTGGACTCGATCCGTGTGTTGTGTTTTCTCTTTGCCGTCTACCTTTTTCTTTACAGACGGCAAAGACTTCACTTTGCCGTCTGTTTAGAAAAATGCAGACGACAAAGTCTTTGCGGTCTTTAGTTTCCTAAACTGACGGCAAAATAAGCTCTTTGCCGTCTGTAAAATCAAAACGCAGACGGCAAAGTATGTTTGCCGTCAGTTGTTCTTTGCCGTCAACAACTGTCGGCAAAATTTGACTTTGCCGTCTGTCCCGACAAAATGCTGACGGCAAAGTGCAGTACCGACGACAAATTATCTGATTCCCGTAGTGACGGAGAGCACCATAGGACAACACCAATAATAAAACATGCAGCTCAAACCAATCACGATCATCAATTAACCCATAGGACAAAACGAATCTAGTCAAACATCATAGGATAGCCATACATCATTGGAAATAATATATAGCGTTGAGCACCATGTTTAAGTAGAGATTACAGCGGGTAGAAGAGGGGTACACCGCTGCATAGAGGGGGGAAGAGTTGGTGATGACGGTGGTGCAGTTGTTGGTGTAGATTGCAGTGACGATGATGGCCCCGGCGGCACTCCGGCGCCACCGAAAGCGAGGGGGAGAGAGCCCCCTCCTTCTTCTTCTTCCTTGACCTTCTCCCTAGATGGGAGGAGGGTTTCCCCTCTGGTCCATGGTCTCCATGGCGTGGGAGGGGCGAGAGCCCCTCCGAGATTGGATCTGTATCTCTGTCTCTCTCTGTTTCTGCGCTCCCAGATCTGGCCTTTCACCGTTTCTTATATTCCCGGAGATCCGTAGCTCCGATTGAATTGAAATTTGAATACAATTTTTATCCGGATATTAGCTTTCTTGCGGCGAAAGAAGGGCTCCAACTGCCTTACGGGGTGTCCACGAGGGTCAGGGGCGCCCCCCTGCCTAGTGGCCCCCTCGGGCATGGTCTCGCGTTGATCCACTTTCCAAAATTCACATATATTCCAAAAAAAATCTCCATCAGTTTTTATCCCATTTGGACTCTGTTTGATATCGATTTTCTGCGAAACAAAAAATATGCAACAAACAGGAACTGGCACTGAGCACTGTATCAATATGTTAGTCCCAAAAATAGTATAAAAATTTGTCAACAGTATATGAAAGTTATATAATATTGGCATGAAACAATCAAAAATTATAGATACGATGAAGACGTATCAAGACGTAGATAAAACTATCATCCCAAAGCATGAGAATACCACCACGAGCCCTATTAGCCACCATTGCGTGGAAGTACGAAGGCAGTTGAGTTTGCCAAGACCACACACTAAATCAAACGTGCGCCCTGGCTGGCCGGGGTTGGGCCGATCGAGTTGATCTGGGCCAGCCAGATGAGATCGAGAAGGACAGCTTGACAAAAAGAAGAGATGAAGAGATCAATTGTTCCAGCGATCCGTGGGAAAAAATACGAGATCTATCTAGACATGGAGATATTGATCATTCCCCGCTGTCCGTTTGGCTATGATCCGTTCGGTGGGAAAAAAAACTTCAATCAAGGCTTGACGAAAGAGGACCGATCACGGGATCAGGGGACGCTGCCGGTTTTTTAGATATATAAGTAGCTAGGAGAGATTTCGAAAATAAATATTATGTTAATTAACTACTCTCTCCGTCTTTGACTAGTATTGCCGGACGAGGGAGTATTTTCTAATTAATTGTGATTATTTAAATACTTAATTAGTAGAAACGGTGATTATTATTTTTAGAATCAACAATAGGGGAGTGGTGATGAGTTTGAGCACGAAGGGAATAAGGATCATATAAAAAAATAATTCCAATTAGGTGCGAACTGGGCCGTCCAAGTAGAGAAGAAGGGAGGGAGAGGGAACACAACCCAAAAATCCCCGACCTGTCCGCCCGTCCGAGGAAGACGAACCCCCCAAATCGCCAACCTCGATCCATCGATCGGCCAAACCCTAACCCCGACCACCCAAACCCCCAATCCCGGCCGGCGACGATGGCCGCCGGCAACTTCCGCTTCCCCGACTTCGCCCTCCTCGACCCGATCACCTGCATCCGCGACCTCCGCAACGCAACCACCGCGTGGGCCTTGACCACGGCGGGCCTCACCATTCAGGTCTCCTTGGCGGCGGCCGCCCCGCCGCGCCTCTCCCACTTCTGCGTCTGGTGCCCCGGCCGCGACAAGACCACCTTCGCTTACGTGCCCGATGTCTTCTGCTCCGCGGGGGACCACGCCCTCATCCGGGTCGGCTTCACCACCGGCGACTCGACGGATCACTACATCGTCTACCGGGCCAGGGGGCCCGACGGCCGGCCGTCGCTTGACCTGCTCCCGGACTTCGATGATTATTCCGACGCAGAGAGTCTGCTGCTGCCCTACGGTTTCGTCTCCCACCGCAAGCACTTGGTCATAGCGGCCCTGAGCGACGGACCGACGGAGTGGCAGTACTATCTCCACACCCTCAGCTGCGAGCCGCACTCCACGTGGTCCAAGAAGCTGCTGCGGGTGGAGTTCCCCCGTGGAGCAGCCAGGAAATCGGCTATGAACGATCCCTTAAAGGTGATTGCACTTGGAGGTGGGCTGCTAGGTTGGGTCAATCTCAGGGAGGGCATCCTGATCTGCGACGTGCTCGATCCCGGGGTGGCGGCGTTGCACTTCGTCCCGATGCCCAAGCTGCTGCCCAGCAACAATCAACTCTACGACAATGAATCTCGCGCGAGGGCGATTCGCGACGTCACCTTCAGCCGTGGCTACATCAGGTGCGTCGAGTTTGAGGAGCTGGTAGAATGCAGAGCCACAACTGTGCCGGCTGTTCCTGATCCCTGGGACATGGATGAGCTCCAAGACTCGGAATCGGCCGATGATCCGCCCCAGGAGGAGGAGGAAGATGTTGTCGTTGGTTGGAGGCTCATCACATGGTATAGGGCATTGACTTGGAACTGTTGGCGCAAGGGGTACACGGTTCATTCCGACGAGCTCGGCATTGTCTCCTTGCCTCAGATTATTGGAGGTGCTGGTGCCTGTGCTCTAAAAGTGCCACTCAAGGACCTGAAAGCAGCTGCTCCTACTCTCCGTGGCGACGGCGATGTTGTTTACCTCGCGTGCGAACTGCACGAGCAGAACCAAAGAACATGGATTGTTGCTGTTGACACTAGGAGGAAGTTGGTGGGAGAGCTTTGTTCTGTAGAGGAAGTCTATCTTTACGATCCGAGCTACATTCCATATGTGCTTACCGAATATTATCTAGATGATAGATCAGGTATATATTATACTATCACTGCTATCATATCTAGTGAGTTGCAAGTGCTAATGAATCTAGTCTAATGGTTTTCTGCTCTTTGTGTACTAGGTGGAGCTCAGGCACATACGCTAAATGCTTGTCATCCCACCCCACAAAACTTAGATGGGTCCCAGAAGAAGCGGCAGCGGCTTTCATAAACAGAATAATCTGAAGCCTGAAGTGATGATAATACAAGTCATGCATGGACTTTTGAGGATCAGTGACGCCGCTTGTTCTGCTGTGTCCTCCGTTGAAACTTGAAACATGTATATACCCAAGCTGAAAACAACAAGGCTACACCAACTGAACTTTACTTAGGGCTGTAGCTTGGGAACATCTGGTCCGTCTCTTGTGAAGCAGTTATCCAAGCTAAAGCAGATAGATTTGTGCCCAACAACAACAATGCAAACTCAAGAATGTGTGTTGTTCTCTGTCTGCTACTAGTGCCCCGTGTAGGTATGTTGTTCATATGATGTTTAGGCAGCTGATCCTTGCACCGCGTTGTAACTATGTACTTTGTTTTTTGTGTTTGTTACCTTGGCAGGATGTATTTGCCCCTCGGGCTGTTTAGGTTTTTGATCCGGTTCCCCACATAAAGTAGATCAATCGTTTTCTATCTGATTTCCCATATAAATGAATCAATCTCTTTTTGAATTGAGATCAATATACAGGTGGGAATTCCTCCCGGGTGACTGAATAAAAAATAAGGACTCCAGCAGACCTGGCGATAAATAGGCCATAAAACAACAAAGACAATGCAAAATGACAAAAACCGCCAAGCAAGGTACTTCCTCCGTCCGAAAATACTTGTCATTGAAATAGATGTATCTAGATGTATTTTAGTTCTAGATACATCAATTTTCATCCATTTTGATGACAAGTATTTTCGAACGGAGGGAGTATGAGGCAGTCCAAACATGACACTTTTGCAAAATGTTCATGTGGCGTGTTTAAACTATCTCAAAGGTTCCATTATTTTCATGTGAGTAAGTTGCTCCATCTTTTTCTTCAAGCTATAGTTGTAAACCATAGATAGATTAAAAGCACACCGGAGACATATCTATCGTGTGTGTCTTAATAACCAAACTAATATGAATGCATCTCGTAGAGCCATAAACGTACCTTGATAGTAAAAGCACCCAGGGAAGAGCATTTTTTTGGCAATTCTTTTATACTAGTACATGGTACATGCCATGCACGTGTGATTTAGGGATTATTAGTGGAGACAATGGGAACACCAGGTACATATTTGTAAAATGAATTTATAAGAGAAGGTAATAGCTATTTAATTACAACACATATTAAGCTTTCACTTTATTTGTGTTTGTAATCCGATGACCAGTCGGACCAATCAATTGAACAAAGAAGCTAATGAATAGTAGTATTAAGCATATAATTATTTGTACTAAATAAAATCCCTCAGTTAACATTTTGCACGTACTCTCAATTGCGGTGGCAGTCTGTCATGAAGGATGTGCACACCGCGAATCCCTCCACTGTGGCCGTTCAATCACTCCATCTAACAGTCTATATGTGGCCGAGAAAAGTATATTTTTCGTCCCTCAATTCTGGACGAAGTCTAGATTTAGTCCCTTAACTATGAAACCAGACAACTTGCACCTTCAACTCTAAAAACCAGACAAGCTAAGTCCCTCTCCCGATTGCAAGTGGTTTTCCGATGACGTGGCTTGGTTTTGACCGGGTCGACGTCCATGTGGCAATCCTGGTGGATCTTCTTCCTTCTCTTTCCTCAACTGGGCATTTCGCCGAGCAGTTGCCGTGCATCAAGCAGCAGGAGCAGGATGTGGGCGTGGAAGCCTCCGGCACGGTGGCTCTGGTCCTGGCGACCTCTGTAAGGCCGCTACGCAAGGTCGGCGTCTCTCTGGCGCGGGAGCTCATGGCGGTGGCCGACGACGCGCTCCAGCCGACAGCCGTGGCCGAGCGGATTGCGGCGCCGCCGCGGCTAGCTGAGTGGCAGCGACAGAAGAGCTCGAGGGCGGCACGGTGTCCGACATGACGGTGTCCTTATGTACGAGCTCCTCTAACAAGGCAGACTCCGCGCCTGGCCCGCTCCCATGGTGACTGTCGGCGCACCTTGGCCCCGATGGCCACGCGTGCACCGCTCGAGCTGCCGCACCGTTGTCGTCTGCCCCGTGCTGCTGCAAAGCTGCTCTTCGACACCCCATCTGCGCCTTGGCAGGCTCACCGTGACGAGACATCCTTGGCCCTGCTGGCCGTCGCCACCGCGTACGTGCCTTCCAAGCTCGTCGTGCCGAACCGTCCTCGGCACTACAGGCCGCCCCGAAGGCCGGGTGATCCTGATGGGTGATAACCCGGAGAGCAGCATGGCCCATGCGAGCGGCATGCACAACACATGTTCGATATTTTGCCTCACTGGAGTTAACATGAGTGCTGTGTGTTTTTTTCTCCTTTCTTTGTACCTAAAAGCTTGTCCTCGTGTCACTTTGGACTGCTCAAAACCATGGTGAGTCAGCCTGGATACCGCTCGAGGGACAAAATTAGTCTGGTTTCAACCTTCGAGGTCGTCTTTGTTGGCCTGGGCATGCGTGAATACGATGGTGACGGTTGCGTCGCGCAGGCGTGCGTGTCCTTGCCGGAGGCCGGTGACTGGACCAGGCCGTGCCCCGTGTTTGATCACCATCACTGGGGCGAGCCTTGCTATGGTCTTCATCTTGAAGCCGATGCATTCATCGACCGAATGCCCCCTGTGCTAGTCAAAGAAGCAGTTCACTTGATGCTTGTGTATGCTCGTGAAGGTCGTGTAGAAATTCTCAGGTACGACTTGAGATGTAGTTGCTTATCACTGGTTGATGTGCCGCTTATGGGGCCTGGCATTTACGGTGCCGCTATCCTCATGGCGATGGAGGATGGCAGTTTGGGGTTTGCACATGTGGATGGGTTAACCCTCCATATCTGGTCAAGAGAAATGGATTTCAACAGAGTTGCTTCATGGAGCCGACGTACAATTATCGATCTCAGGAATCTTCTCCCCATCCAAAATACCGATGAAAGACTTAGACTGACTGGATCTGTTGAAGGCAGTGATACCGTTTTTGTGACCACAGACCTGGGCATCCATGAGATTAATGTCAAGTCACAGCAATGGAAGGAGCTATGGAAGAGCGAGAATTTCGTGCTTTGATTTCGTACATGAGTTTCTACAATGCACGAGGTATAGTTGTATCTATGTTTTTTTTGTGTAATTAGGGAACAAATGTTAATTAATACTCCATATAAGTTTGTGGAACAAACAAAACAATGAATCTCTAATCAGATAAAAAGTTACATTTCAAATGTTCCTGACCAAACCTTGGGTGCTAATACAACTAATTATGCTTACTTAATTGCCAATTTATATATTATCTTGCCATCACCTTTTTGGAATCACATCGGTAATTCTATGTTTGCAGAAAGGGTGATGCCCTATGACGCGGCACATTGACAAGGTATGGTTGAATATGCTTAAGGTTAGAAGGCAACGCTTATCAACAAAAAAGATGACAAGCTTGGAGGCGACAGGGGTCTTGTGATGAATTATGTCACTATTCAGTAGCCCTTTTGGTTCAGCTTGGAAGCGACAGGTGTCTTATGATGAATTATGTCACTATTCAGTAGCCCTTTTGGTTTAGTGGTGCTTGCTTCATTCCTCACATTGTTTTTTGGATTTTGTCAGTAAGCTTGATAGTTTACCCATGTCGTTGGCATGCGCAAGTGGGTGAATGGTTATCTTATAATGAACCTCCGATTCTTGCAGCTGCAGTAGGAACCACGTGCTCCGTTGTTTAATTTGCTTGAAAATGCATCTGCAGGCAGTACTCAAGAACCGGAGATTTTTCTGTCCATTTTGAAAATTCTAAAGTTTGCTCTCCCAACTCTCTAAATTCATCTCTCAAAAGGAGTACCTTTGAACTTTGACGAGTTGTCTCGCTCTAGAGAAGTAGAGATGATGATGGTTTCTGCATGCTGGCTTATTAATCTGCCTTGATTAATTTGGTGAATTTAGTTAGTGTTCTCTTTTTAGCAAAGCAATGTTACTGACGGGTATAAGATGTAAAGTGAATCTTGAGCCCTATTGCTGCCTGAAGATCTTGTAAGTTTTTATGTTGCTTCTGTTGCTCCACAAAACTGCAAGGAAGATTTTGAGTAGTTCATTATTTGTTGCATATGTTTGGCCTACAGTGCACATGCTAGTCGACTGCAATGTCCATGTAGTGAGATGAAGATGTTCATATGCTTGGTCAGAGTGCAATGCTACAATGATCATTGCAGCTGTTTTTATGTATTATAATTTCCAGTTTGATTTCACAATTTTTCCTTCTTTAGATAAGATCTATTACTAAAAATCATGAACACACATTTCTCTATGTTTTTCTGTACCTAATAAAATACATGAAAGAAGTATGATTCTATTCCAAATGTCTCATAGCTAGTTAACCTCGTACACCCTTCATGGGAAAACGGATTGTCTTTTAAGTTGGCTGTTTTTCTGCTTTCACACGTCCCTCATATTCGGATCTAGTAAGTATGATGGGTATATATGAGGCTTCAGTAAGATATCATATCCATTATGGCATAGAGCTGCTAATGCATTTTTTTCTTCAAGTTCTATATCACGCGCATCAACAATGGTTGAGTATGCTGAAGGGTAGGGTGCTCGAAATGGATTTGCTGAACCCAAGCTTGCTTGGACAGTTTAGAAAATCTGAGAACTGTGTTTTGAAGTTTCCAAATGTTCTAAAAAGAATCACTCATGACTCGTGTGCATAGGGTATATAGCATTTACATGGAAATTTTTGTGATAAAGTTTGCTAATTTGTATTTATATAAAATGTATATGCATGATTTATGTCGAGCAAGTTTGGTAATTTTCTCATGGTGTCCGTAAGGGTGACCGTATATGTATCTGTGTTATGACCGGGCAGACTTATGCCCGTAGGAGGCCCACCGGGCAGGTTTAGTTAGGGGCTTGGCCCACAAGTTATCTTATTTTCTAGCATCGTGGTTATATATACTAGCTGTAAAACTATTTTGAGGATTAAGCAATAAGAAGAATTCTATTGCCCGGCTCCCAGAGGAGCTGGACTCTAACCCTAGCCGTCTCCCTCTCTGCCGCCGCCTCCCTCCTTCTTCATCGTGA